TCAATCTCACATTTGTACATATATAACATGTTCATTTGTAAACTATACTTTTATTGTTTTGAACCATATTAAAATATTGTATTTTGTCAACATTTTCAACTCAATTTTATTATTTTTTTGATTTTTATTTTTGTATTTTTTAAAATTTAAATTAGAAACAAGATTATTTTACATGTCAATCCCCGTTCCCCCTCCCTCCCCTCTTCCCCTCCCCCCTACTAACACCCTACCTATCCAATACCATTTCTGCTCCCCAGGGAGAGTGAGGCCTTCCATGGGGGGGATCTTCAGAGTCTGTGATATCCTTTGGGATAAGGCCTAGGACCTCCCACATGAGTCTAGGCTGGGGGAGTATCCCTCTGTGTGAAATAGGATCCCAAAGTCCATTCCTACTCTAGGGATAAGGACTGATCTACTACAAGAGGACCCATATATTTCCGAGGACTCCTATTGACACCCACATTTATGGGTTCTGGATCAGTTCCATGCTGGTTTCCCAAAGATCAGTCTGGGGGCCAAGAGCTCCCTCTTATTCAGGACAGCTGTTTCTTTAGGATTCACTAGCGTGGTCTTGACCCCTTTGCCCATCACTCCTCCTTCTCTGCAACTGGATTCCAGTTCAGTTCAATTTTTAGCTGTGGGTATATCTGCTTCTACTTTCATCAGCTGCTGGATGAAGGCTCTAGGATAGTCCATAAGTTGACAATCTCGTTATCAGGGGAGGGCATTTAAGGTAGCCTCTCCTCTGTTGCTTAGATTGTTAGTTGGTGTCATTCTTGTAGATCTCTGGACATTTCCCTAGTGCCCAATTTCCCTGTAAACCAAAAATGTCTCCCTCTTTGATGGCATCTCTTATTTTGCTCTCGTCTACTCTTCCCCCTACACAACCTTCCTGCTCCCTTATTTCCTCCTCACTCCTCCTCTTCTCCCTTCTCATTATCCTAGCTCCCTCTCTTCACCCATGCTCCCAATTTGCTCAGGAGATCTTGTCCATTTCCCCTTCTCCAGGGGACCATGTGTGTCTGTTTTAGAGTCCTCCTTATTGCCTAGCTTCTCTGGTGGTGTGGATTATAGGCTGGTAATCCTTTGCTCTATGTGTAATATCCATATATGAGTGAGTGCATACCATGTTTGTCTTTTTGTGACTGGGTTACCTAGATCAGAATGGTTTCTTCTAGTTCTATCCATTTGCCTGCGAATTTCAATATTCCATTGGTTTTTTTTTTCCACTGAATAGTACTCCATTGTTTAAATGAACCACATTTTCTCTATCCATTCTTTAGTAGAGAGGCATGTAGGATGCTTCCAGGTTCTGTCTATTACAAATAATGCTGCTATTAACATAGTTGAACAGATGTCCTTATTGTATAATGTGCTTCTTTGGGGTATATGCCTAAGATTGCTGGAATTGCTGGATCTTGTGGTAGGCTGATTCCTATTTTCCTGAGGAATTGCCATACTGATTTCCAAAGTGGCTGTATGAGTTGTCACTCCCACCAGCAGTGGAGGAGTATTCCCCCTTCTCCACATCCTCTTCAGCATAAGTTATCATTGGTGTTTTTTATTTTAGCCATTCTGACTGGAGTAATATGATATCTCAGAGTTGTTTTGATTTGCATTTCCCTGATGGCTAACGATGTTGGACACTTTCTTATGTGTCTTTCCAACATTTTAGAATGCTCTGTTGAGAATTCTCTATTTAGTTCTGTACCTCACTTTTTAATTGGATTATTAGGTGTTTTGGAAACTAACTTCTTGATTTCTTTGTAAATTTTGGAGATCAGACCTCTATCAGATGTGGGGTTGGTGAATATCATTTTCCCAATCTGTGGGCTGCCATTTTGTCTTGTTGACTGTGTCTTTTGCCTTACCAAAGCTTCTCAATTTCAGGAGGTCCCATTTATTAATTGTTGATCTCAGTGTCTGTGCTACAGGTGTAATATTCAGGAGCCTGTCTCCTGTACCAATTCGTTCAAGGGTACTTCCCACTTTCTCTTCTAAGAGGTTCAGTGTGGCAGGATTTTTGTTGAGGTCTTTGATCCATTTGGACTTGAGTTTTGTGCATGGCGATAGACATGGATCTAGCTGCAGTCTTCTACATGCCAGCATCCTGTTGTGCTAGCACCATTTGTTGAAGATGTTATATTGATTCCATTTTATATTTTTAGCTTCTTTATCAAAAATCAGGTGTTCTTAGGTATGTGGGTTACTATCGGGGTTTTCAACTCTATTCCATTGGTCTACATGTCTATTTTTGTTCCAGTACCAACCTGTTTTCAGGACTATAACTCTATAATAGAACTTGAAGTCAGGGATGTTAATGCCTCTGGAGGTTTCTTTATTGTACAGGGTTGTTTTGGCTATCCTGGGTCTTTTGTTCCAACATATAGAGTTGAGTATTGTTCTGTGAAGCATTGTGCCAGTATTTTAATGGTGATTGCATTGAATCTGTAGATTACTTTTAGCAAGATTGACACTTTTATTATGTTGATCCCACCTATTCAAGAGCATGGGAGATCTTTACATTTTCTGGTATCTTCTTTAATTTCTTTCTTTACAGACTCAAAGTTCTTGCTATACAGGTCTTTCACTTGTTTGGTTAGTGGTACCCCAAGATATTTTATGTTATTTGTGGCTATTGTAAAAGATGATGTTTCTTTGACTTCTTTCTCAGCCCTCTTATCGTCTGTATATAATAAGGCTACTGACTTTTTTTAGTTAATCTTGTATCCTGCCACTTTGCTGAAGGTGTTTACCAGTTGTAGGAGTTCCTTGGTAGAGTTTTTCAGGTCATTAATATAAACTATGATATCATCTACAAATAGTGAAAGTTTGACTTCGTCCTTTCCAATTTATGTCCCCTTGCTATCCTTTTGTTGTTTTATTGCCCTAGCTAGTACTTCAAGTATGATATTGAAGAGATATGGAGAGAGTGGACAGCTTTGTCTTGTTCCTGATTTTAGAGGAATTGAACTGAGTTTCTCTCCATTGAATTTGATGTTGGATGTTGGTTTACTGTATATTGCTTTTATTATGTTGAGGCATGTTCCTGTTATCCCTGATTTCTCCAGGACCTTTATCATGAAGGGGTGTTGGATTTTATCAAAGGTTTTTTCAGCATCTAATGAGATGACCATGTGATTTTCTTTCCTCAATCTGTTTATATGGTGGATTACATTGATGGATTTTCATATGTTGAACCAACCCTGCATTCCAGTGATGAAGACTACTTTATCATGGTGGATGATTTTTCTGTTCTTGGATTCGGTTTGCCAGTATTTTAGCACCAATGTTCATGAGGGATATTGGTCTGTAGTGTTCTTTCTTAGTTGTGTCTTGGGTATCAAGTTAATTGTAACCTCATAAAAAGAGTTTGGCAATGAACCTTCTGCTTCTATTGTGTGGAACAATTTCAGGAGTACTGGTATTAGCTCTTGTTTGAATTTCTGGTAGAATTCTGCACTGAAGCCACATGGCCCTGGGCTTTTTTTTTTTTTTTTTTTTTTTTTTTGGTTAGGAGACTTTTGATGACTACTTCTATTTCCTTAGGGGATATAGGCCAGTTTAAGTTGCTTATCTGTTCTTGATTTAATTTTGATAAGTGATATCTGTCCAGAAAATTGCCCATTTCCTTTAAATTTTCCAATTTTGTGGAGTAAAGGTTGTCTTTCTTTCTTTCTTTCTTTTTTTTTCTTGGTTTGGCATATTTTTTTCTTTTTTTAACTTTTTTTAAATTTGAATTAGAAACAGGATTGATTTATGTGACAGTTCCCTTCCCCTACCACCACCTCCCCAACTAAAACCCTATCACATATCCTTTCTGTTCCCCCTGGATGGTGAGGTCTTCCATAGGGTGTCGTCAGAGTCTATTGTATCCTTTGGGATAGGGGCCTAGGCCCAACCCTGTGTGTCTTGGCTCCAGGAGTAATCTTCTATATGGAGTGGGCTCCCAAAGTCCACACCTATGCTAGGGATAAGTACTGAACTTCTACAGGAGGTCCTATAGATTTCCATGGTT